TGATCCTACGACCGAAACAGATCCGACCTGCCTTACCTGCGCCGTTACATTAACCATATCACTAAGCTTGAGTTTCTGCTAGCGTTTAAGGTAGCCTTTGATTGATCCTTTACGGCAGCTAATATCTGCTTAGCCTTTTAAGGCGTAGGCCTTGTTCCTTTCTAGCTAGACACTATTCTATTAAAGCGTAATGTATAGCTACGTACGCCTACTCTAGTAGCTACTCTTGCAGAGGCTGTCTAGTAGGCTCGTACCCTAAGCAACGTACGCGAGCTTGAAGCCTAATTAATGCTAATACGTGATTAGGTCTAGCGGCATAAGAGCTTATTACTAGCGTTAATTATTGCGGCGATTAGCTAGCTTAAGAAGGGGGTAGAGAGAATATTGCTCTTAGCTAAGCTAATACGCGATTAGATCGCCAGCCTTAAGAGGGCTAACAAGGCAGCAACAAAGCTGTAACGGCGCAGGTAAGGCAGGTCGGATCTGTTTCGGTCGTAGGATCACTCAGAGGCATATGGGAGTGCGTGGGATCACAAAGAGCCTAGATTCAACAAGCCACCTATAGGCCTTGTACGAAAGGATATCAAAAGTCTACAGAGCTAGCTACAGGGAGTGTCTCAATATATACCTATCCTAGTCGGGTCCGAATTCGGATCCGACCTCGGGCGAATGGCTTATGAAGGGCGGCAGGTACTTCCTCCGATCTGGCTCTGGGATTGGCTCAATACTTGGCGAAGTTGTAACATCGTTACAAAAGCGTAGGTAGCGTAAAAGGAAGTAGATATAGAAGCATAGAGTGCTAATAAAGGGAGCTAGAGAGGATCTACTTACTTAGTGTAAGGTGTTACAAGTAACAAGAAGGATTCTCCCCTTGACGGGGGACGACGAGGTTGAAGGCCAACCACGTCCACGTCAGAAGGTAATGATCATCGCGGGGCTCGAGGTCACGTGATGCGCTCTCCCGCTAAGAGCCATTCTCCCGCCAAGGAAGGGATAATGGGCCAGGATGGGAGAAGGCGTTCTCCCACATCTCCCAAAAGACAAGGATGTCAAGGGAGAAGAGGGAGAACAGGACCAAAGGCAATAGGTATAAGAATAGGTTGGATTTTATTATTACACTTGTTGTGGTTAACTCTCATAAGTTCTTCTCTTATACAGATTAATACTTAGTTATTCTATCTTCTAATAGAATTAGTTTGTCTTACTAACCCAGTTAACTCCTATAACTCTTCTCCACCTTATCGCCAGACAATTACCTCACGGATACTTCAGCTAGACAGCCTCGCCCTAACCCAGACCGAGACTAGGTAAGTATAGTTTCTGATAGTGTTAGGAAACCCCGTGTAACACTTTGACCACCTTTGGATTTGGTGGAAGGATTAACTAACAGTTGCTTGAATAAGATTACTATAATGGCCCACAACGGAAGTCAGGGACAGGAGCCTACGATTGCAGCTCCTACGAATTCACCAGCTCTCGATGACGAGATGCTGGAAGGAAGTGGTTCGGATTCTAACTCCTTAGATGGAGAAAGGAACAACGCGAACTAGGCTAAGGTACAAGATCTTAAGCAACAACTGCGCATCCAGGCAAGGCAGATAGCTGCTATGCAAGAGATAATAGCGCAGATGGCTGGCTAGTTAATAGCTACGCCAAACGAACGCGTTACGAAACCTAAGATGGCAACACCTAAGAAGTATAAAGGAGGTTAGCACGAACTTAGGACGTTCCTTACTAACATTAACTTATACTACGGATTTAACAGAGTACTAAACAATTAGGAAAAGATCCTCACAGCTAGCATGCACATGAAAGGAAAAGCAGCTAGCTGGATGCAACCATACGTGGAGGACTTTCTCGCAGCACTAACAAGTTAGGGAATAAAGGCTAAGACTAAGACCCTATTCTAGGATTAAAATAGCTTTAAGAAAGAGATAGGACGCATCTTTAGGAAAGTAGACGCAAAGAACTAGGCTAAGAAAGCAATTATGCGCCTAAAGCAGACCGCGTCTGTGACCGCCTACACAGCAGAGTTCAAGCAACTACAGGCGAGGATTGATTAGGACAACGCAGCGCTACGAACGACATTTAAAGCAGGTCTGAAGGACAACATCAAAGACGCACTTGTACACTATAACAAGCTAGAAACGCTACAAGCTCTAGTGGAGCTAGCCACGCGCATTAACAATAGGTTATAGGAAAGGAATGAACAGAAGAAACGACAATTCCGCCCTAACACGGCCAATATAAAGCGACAGCGCAATAGAACTAACAACGACGGCGACACGGTTATAACAGGCAAAGTATAAGAAAAGTCTAAAGATAAGAAAACCTACGGAAAGGGTTAGGACAGCCTCTCCCTAGAAGAACGCAAGAAGCGTTACAACAGTAAGGCATGTCTCTAATATGGCGAAGTAGGACACTTCCGCAGAGACTGCCCAAAGAACAAAGTCAAGCAAGCAGCGGTCAAGATTAGGATGTTGCGAGCTCAATAATCAACCTTGACGCCAGACGAATTGTCAGAGATCGACAACCTCAGCGACTTGGACCTCTACGATGAGGCACGATCTAACGAGATCACTGATTACGTGATCGTCCTAGGGCTCGTACGAGCGGACGAACACATGAAATGGGAAGTGCCAGAACCCACTGACTGGATCGTCGAAGACGAAGACGCAGTCCGCCGGTTAGCACTAGACTAATGCTAGGTATGCGGAAGTGCTATATACTATGCAAATGACTGTTACCTTAGAGGAGGAAGAATAGTAGTTATAAGACAAAACGTAGCAGAAGCTATAAGACAAGTAGCTTAGAAATAACTATACTTTAAAGACAACCTACTAGATGAAAACCAAGAGATAGAGCACCAAAAGCTTCATTGGGTCGACTGCAATAGCATTGATTACTGCCAATACCACGCGGAGGAAAGCAGACAAGATTAATACTAGAAAGATAGCTATTGTCACGCCTACTTTAGACTAAGCGCTTGCAGGGTTTTAAACTATTATGTCTATAAACCTAAGAAGTAGGAGGAGCACGAGAAGCTCTATTAGTATTAATACAAGATAGCATTCTGCATGTACTACTACAACGCTAAAGAAAGTTGTAAACTAGATAACAAGGCAACTAGTTACAAGAAACTTTAGGCGAACGATTGTCTAATACTAGATTGCGATATCTACAAGAACGAGCACTAAGAAGCGCACGAGCGCTTGTGCTAAATTAACTGC